ACACTGCCATTTATGCGGCTGAATATTTTCATGTGTTGTCAGCGTGTTTACACCTGCTGTTGGTATGGCTTGGTAGGCTATACTCTTTTTCTACCGTGTGTGTTAAATGTGCGTCTACTTTTCTCCTTTTCCTCTTCTTCCTTGTTACCACAGACCCAAGCAACTCACAGCGACAATCATGACAACGATGTTCGTATCCTCTGTGTCGTTGTGCTGCTCCGCCTTGGTGGGGTTGGGTGGTGTCCCGGGCCGTCCCGGACTTGTCCGTGTGGCGGGGTCGGACCCCCACCCCTGTATTTTTTTTGGGGGGTGCCAGGCGCGCCATCTGGTTTTTGCCGTCGTGATTTGTGTTTTCTACATGTACTGGTGGTGTTTGCGCTTTTGTTTGCGGCACCGCGCGTTGCGCTCTGGCTTTGGGCCTCTGCCTCCCATGGGGTGGGCTGGCCCAGGTGGGGAGGGGGGGTGGAAGGGGATATGTTGGATCGTACCTTTCTTATGTACATCGGGGGGGTGATGTTGCGGGGTGTGGTTGACGGGAATTGTGTGCGCATATGTCTTGAGGGTATGCTGTAAACGTTTCTCCGGCTATGCGTTCGTGAAAACATTGTTCTTTGGTTTTGTTTGTTCTTGTGCCTGGTTGCGTGGACATTGTTCACGGCGTTGAGGTGAACTTTTCGCCGGGTCTTGGCCCCCAGGGTCGTGTGTTCATTCCGAATAATGTTGATGATGTGCATCTTTCTTTTTCTCCCGCAAATGTGTTTTCACATCCCATGCAATGGTGATTGTTCCCAATCTCCACCGTCGTGAATGTAATGTGCGATTTCGGGTGGTGCCGATGTTGCGTGCGCCCGTGATGCAACTACAGGGAATTTGGTGTGTGGATGTTGTGATGGCTGATGGGTTGCGGTGTAACATTTGACGTTCATGCCGGAGTGCTTGAGTACTGTGCTATGAGATGGGGTCCTGTGTTTTCTGGTGTCTTCTTAGTGGTCTTGTACCAGTTTTTGGGGGGATGCCGACCATTCGTGCAATGAGGTTACGCTATCGGTGAAAGATAGTCAGGGGGCACGGTGTATATTATTGCCGAGTGGTATAACTGGGATCTGCAGGTAAATTTCCATGGTGCTGTTTCTTTTTATTGTTTTTGTGGATTTTTTTTTTCGTGATTGGGGGTGTTGTTTTGACATCCGCACGGGAATCCGGAGTGGATATGTATTTTTTGTGAAGTGGTGGGATTGATTGCCTGCGTGAGGTTTCCCTCCTATGTGACGTCTAATTGTCGACCCTACATTGGATTGTCATTATGATGCTCTCTCGTTCTCTCTTTTTCTCTTTGTGTGTAGCTGATCTTCCTCATTATGTTACATGTGCGTCTACTTTTCTCCTTTTTCTCTTTTTTCTTGTTACCACAGATCCAAGCAACTCACAGTGACAATAATGACAACGATGTCCGTCCAACTGCGCCGCGTGGTGTACCTGTTGGTACTTTTGCAGTGCTTTGTGTGTGTGGCATGTGCAGCGAATGCAAGTGGTGATGCTGAGCAGCATTCTTCAACCATTGAGTCAACTGAAAAAAGAAAGGAGGATCAGGTGTTGAACAACACGGTAGAAGGGGCGTATGAGTACATTGCCCATGTGTACGGTTGTCTGTCTGTGTTAAAGGAAAAAAAGGAATTATGCGAGGAAAAGTATAAGCCTGCTGAAATTGCTTTGGGGACTATCACGACTATGGTTGGAGAGATAGAAAAAATTAAAAGGGAACAAAACGTATCTGAGCCAGGTCATGAGTGGATGAAGGGAAAAAAGGCTAAAATACATGAAAACATGAATGCTGTTGGAGATTTGGCAGTATCACTCGTTGACGTGCATCTCTTGCTACATGCCTGTGGGGCTCTACGCGACCGCTTGAAAGTTGATGTGGAGAAGCTTGCCGAAGTTCGTAACAGCAGTGAAGCTAACCAAACGTTAATTGACCTCACAAAACAACTCAATTCTGCGCTGGACGTAACCGACTCAATTTTTTATGCCGATAGAGTCAAGGAAGACGCGAAAAAAGCAATGAAAGACCTCATGGAGTCCTTGGGAAATGCCTCGAAACACGTATTTGATCCGGTAGACATCAGGGGTAAAAAAGAAATAAATGATACGGTGGAGAAGAGAAAGGACGCCCTTTTTGAAGAACTGGAGAAAGCAAAAGAAGAAGCAAAAAAAAAATATCGGTATCTGGTACAGGTTGAGGTGGTTGAAGAAAAAGAAAAGAGTGAAGTTGAAGATCAGCCGTCAATGGAAACAGAAGTGCCAAGGAGGGAAGAGGAGTCGCAGAAGGCACAACAGAAGGAGGCTATAAAAGAAGTGGCGGGGATTAAAAATACCGGAGAGAAGGAAGAAAAGCAGAAGCAGGAAGGAGAGATCACGGAAGTTGCAAATGGTACTAAAATGGAGGCGGTAAAGGCCATTAAAGCAATACAAGAGAGTGACGGCAGCAACAGTCCTGCATTGGTTTGCAGTCCCTTATTGCTGCTTCTGTTGTTTGTGTTGGGTTGTACTCTCGTGTGCTAATCGGTGTTCCTATGAAACAGTTGCACAGTTAACAGTCTTTGTTTTCGTGGACATGGATGCATTGTAAGGGCACTGTTCTTTTTTTTGGTTGGATATCAGCCCTTCTCTTTTTCTTTTCAGCACGATAAATCTCTTGTTTGCAATTTTTTACTGAACACATCTATTGGACTCCCTATGGCACTCATCACATGACAAACCATCATTTTGTGAGGGGAGTGTCTTCTTTGTTTGTTGGCATTATTCTTTGGGCTCTGTTTTGCCGCCATTTACTGTGTCCTCCTGGTGATGTGTGTGTGTTCCGTGATGTTACTAACTATTGCTTTTACTCATGGGAATGGTATACAATCCCGATGTGTTTTAATTGCTGTGACTGAGATGTGAAGAATGGCAGGAGGTTCAAGACACACAAACACGCACACTACCAACCTTCCTTCTCTTTGTGTGTGTGTGTGGACTGTCATCATGTGTGCATCATTCCCATTGCCCGCCCTGTACGAAAGACACACGCACATGCTGTTGGGAATTGTGTTGTTGCCTCCTAAACATATTCACATGGTGATCACGGCCTTTTTTTTGTTTTTTTTTCATTATTTTGCTTTCCCTTGTGTGTGTGTGTGTGTTTTATTATAATTTCATTGCACGTTATGTGCAGCTGTGTGTTTTTCTATTGCGTTTCCGATACACCTTGTGTATCTTGTGTGCTCATTTTTGTGGAGTGAGTATTTTTACATAAATAATACTTTAAAAAATAAATAATACATATATATGGATGCGATGCGTTCAGTACACAATGATTTTCCGCTATTTACCTTGGGATGGATTGGACTGTGTCCAGGCATCGCAGCCACAGTAAGTAATGAATTTCTTTTCCCTTTACATCTTTGCTCTATTATTGTGTCTGCCTCACGCAGTCACACTTTTTTTTTACATTTTTATTTTGGTATAAAGATTGGTGGGTTGTAGGTGTTTGAGTGTGCCCATCTGTTGTGTGTTCCTTTGTGTGTTTGGGTTGCCACTCACACCACCCACGTAATGAAAACACATTTCTTTGTTCTCGCCTTCTCTCTCGGTGGTGTCACTCACGGCATTACCACGAAGATATTACTGCTCTTGTGGTGTGTGTTTGTGTGGCTTGCTTGAGTGACTGCAGCCTGTGGGGAGGTGGGCTGAGACTGATCCGCTTCGGCTTCACGTGATGGATCTGTTTTTTTTTTCTTATTTTTTCTTTTTGGGTGTGTTGATTTGCTGGTGTGGGTGAATGCTTCTCTGATGAGAGTGGCAGCTGTGATTATTGTATTGTGAGTGCTTTGTGTGCTGTTGGTATCCTGTTGTTGTTGTTCTTTTTTTGTGTTTTTCTTTTCCTCTCTCTGTAGGTGGGTGACTTAGTGTACATTTTGGTGAATGCCGTAGTACCTCTCTGACATGAGCATGTGAGACTGTCATTGTGTGTGCACTGTGAGTGGGAAGGACACTCTGTGTTGCTGGACCACTCCACTGCGTCGTCTGTGGGGTTTGTGTGTGAGCGGCGTGCTTCGCTTCGGCGGGGCTCGAGGGGTATTTCACGTCCCGAGGCGCTGAACCTTGAGGCCTGAAATATCATGCTCAGGGACTGTGAACTTGAGAGAAAAAAGAAGAGTGAGGATGAGCGAAAAAAAAAGGATGAAACCCGGCAACCAGTCTACGTGCGTGATGCTCGAGGCTCGTTGTCGGGTTTTGCCCTTTTCTTTTTTTTTATCCCTCACCCCAAGAAGGGAGAGGAGGAGAGAACACAGAACCTCCACAACCCAAGGCGGGCGGCCAACTTGCCAGCGTCTTGCGCGCAACAACGAGAAGAAGAGGGGTGGGGTGGCTGCTCCCGGGGGTGTTTCACTTATAAAATGAGTGGGGTTGGGAATAGTGGAAAACTCTTTGCTTTCCCTACTTTAACGCTGGGTAAGATGGGTTTGAAAGGTATTCCGCAAAGATGACCCTTCCCCGTTCCCCTCATGACATGGCGCCGCGTGCCACCGAGTAAAAGGTGCTGTTGAATGCCCACGCCATGGACAAAAAGAACAAGAGGGTGAGCCCTTCCTCCCCTATGATAAAGGCAAATTCTGCTATGGTGATGTGTTAAGGCGTTCCCCTGCTGCCATGTGCGGTGTGAAAAGGAAACCCATGGGAAATGCAGAAAAGGAAAAACAAGTATAATAAGAACATTTTGCCTCATGGGTATTTTGGTTTGTTGGCACCCCACCGCCTGCCCCACCACAACAATGTGTGAGGCATGTTTGGCTTTTCCCTGGGGGATGGAAGTGGATAAGATGGGCGCCGCGATTGGACAGCCCTCATTGCCAAAGGCGCGCCGTGGTTGGCATCAGAGGTCCAAGGCACCTACCCCATGATGTTGGCAAAAAAAAAAAAAATGGGGAGGGTACGGCACCCCGGGTTCCAGCGCCAACACTGATCGCCGTACTAACGAGGCCTGCGGCCGCTTAACTTCACAAATCGGACGGGATACGGTGCATTCGGCCAAGCATGGTCGTACCCGAAATACCCGCAATAGAACACATTATGCTCCCGTGGTGCCCTTCCCAGCCCCACCTCCCGGGGTGAATTTTCAGTTTTGCGAGTGCCGTGCGTTTCCCGCCTCCGTGCTCTACTGGGCCACGTTACGGTTGTATTGGGGCACTTTTTCGCACACAAGCTAACCCTTGTAGGTGTTGGGTTGTTCCGGTGTTTTGGGTTGTGCCGGTCTGGTGGCGTCGCCGCCGCCGTCTCTGTCACAACTTTGGCCGGCTGGTGGCGCCGGGGTGGGGTGGCAGTTTTCTGGTCGAAGCAGGCGGCCTCTACAATAGTTGCGCCTCTGCTATTTTGGCGTTCTATTGGTTTTTATCCTTTGCGAAGCGCTTGGCTTTGGCGCCGCGTCGGGGTGACCGGCATTGCCTTGTCGAGGGATGCCAAGAGCCAGCGACGTTTTTCTTTCGGAAGACCCGTTGGCTCTTAGGCTACGGCGATATAAAGCACCGGGTCCAGTTGTGTCGTTCTGGGACAGAATTTTATCCAAGAAGGTCCTGGGGCACGTGTTGACGTGCTATCAGCGGTATCACCCGCACCAGGTTACTGCTTCGGAGTGGTGTCTGGTGTAGAGGAAAAACCTGGTCCTTTACTGCGAGGAATGCAGTGGAACTCAGCTGGGCTTAACCAGGTCAAGAGGCTTGCTCTCCACAAAAAACCCTTGTTGGGGAGAATGTGACATTCTGCCTTCTAAGCGAGGCGAAACTATCTTGTGCGGAAGTGTCGAGTTTCACAATCGCTGGTTACCAACATCATGGAGTGTCCCGCCCCTCTAAAGGAGGCGGTGTTTCGATTCTTGTGCGTGAAGATCTGCCAG